ACATTTGGGAGAGAAAGGGGAGACCACAGCTTTTCATTGACTCCTGGGGTCTTACAGTAAATAGGGGTCTCAGCCTGGAGTCCTGTTTGGGCTTTAGATCAGGGGCCTGTCAACCCCTCAAAATCATTTGCAGATGCGCGTGGGCTTAGATTTTATTTAGTTTGTTTCTCAAATCCAAAGTGCTGTTTGTGAGGCACCTGCGACCTGCCTTCAGAGACTGTTTCCCAGATTCTGTTCAAGCTTTATTTTTTTTTTTTGGTGCTGGGTTTGAGCCCAGGGCCTCTCACCTACTAAGCACCTGCTCAACTACTGAGGTGTACCTCCAGCCCCTGAACACTTTACTATGATGATCCAGGACCCACTGAAGCTTCTGGATCTCTGCAGCACAGATCCTCAGGCTGCTGTGCGGGATGTGTGTGCAGGGATGTTCACCATAGCGACGTAAGGGTGAGAAACAGGAAACAGAAGCCCCTCTCCTCATGGTGGGAATAGGGAAACCAGTTACCACTCAAAGGAGTGACCTGGGTCAAAATGTGACAGGGGATCAAGTGGAGAGCTAAGTGGCAGATCAGGAGTTGGACCCTGTTTTTGGCTAGAAGTCTGGGAGCATCGTTGTACATCTGTAGGTATTTTTTATCTGCACACATAGCCCAGGTCACGAGCCTGCACTGTTAGCAGTGACGATGTCTGCAGAGTAGAGACGGAAAGTGAGGGAACGTCATCTTTTTTACCTGATGCCCTTCTGTATTATTTTAATATTTTTATAAAGAAATGTTTTACCTTCTGAAAAAGAAAACAAAGCTAGTGACTGCTGAAGGTTCATGTGTTGCTGTCATCCAGGGGACCTCTGTTGAGAGGGTGCGAGTTCCAGGCCACCCGTCTCCTCCCTGCACCTGCCTTTCGTGGGCAGCTCCTGACCTTGACCCACCACCTGTCTAGGTTCACCCAGCAGGTGCTCCCAAGCACCCCCGGGCCTTAGCTGTTTGTGCCTCCTGCTGCTCATGGTGTGTCCCTGGTCTGGGACTCCTGCAAGGTGCTACCAGCCTCTTGCAGCTGCTGGGACAGACTTTGCCAGGGGACAGCTGACTGCCTGACTGTCTACTCCGGAACCCGTGGCTGGGCATTGGTGCCGCCCTGGGTGCTTTGGGGTGGATGCAGCCTCCATCCAGCTGCCACCCAAGGTTGGCTTCCCATTGATCCCCCTGCCATCTGGCCCGCTCTGCTGTGCTGCTTCTGGGGCTGGGAACAGCTGAGGCTGGGCAACACATCAGGGCAGTGCCCTGGGCCCTGCTTTGGGTCTAAAGGTGCTGCCAGGCCCAGCTGCACAGACTCACGGGGCACCTGGGGCTGGAACAGCGTCCTAGGCCTTCCATTCAGTCAGCGAGGCCCTCAGCAGTGCTGGTGGCTCCTTGAAAGTGGCATGCAAGTGTCCTGCCAAATCCAGTCATGGCTCTCCAGTCGACAGACAACACCCCAGCATCAACACAACCTTGAAAATCAACTAACGGTTTTGGAATCTCTGGGGCCTGTGGCCACTTGGCCAAGCAGAGCCCAGAGGCGGGCAAATGAACATGGAGCCACCAAGCAGTCTGGGCCAACTCGGAAGCAGGCACCTGCTCGTTTGGACAGCATGGTTTTCCTTGTGTGGCCAGGCTCACGCTGCAGTTTCCTATTTTGTTTTGTAACAGAGTGACAATTTAATTCAATTGAACAGTTTCCTGCAGATTAAACTTAAAATGAGATCAGATGCCAGCTCCCTCTTTTGCAGGCTCCGCCAGAAGCACCGCAATCCCCACTTGCTCTGGCTCCTGAGAATGCAGAGGAGCCTTGGTGGAGTTCAAGTCCCACTTTACAGAAGAGCAAACCAACTTGGTGGCAATGCTGGGGTGGCTTAAAACCTGCCTCCGGGCAGTCTCTCTCCCTCCTGGCTTTGGTCCCCAGGCAGTGCGCCTCCTCCGCTTGCCCCCAGAGTCCCTTTCTTAGGGGTGAGTCTTCCTGTCATCCAGCTGCTTCTAATCACTGGTGCCAGTGATGAGGATGATCATTTTTGGGGTATGGGGGATTGAACTCAGGGGTGCTCTACCACTGAGCCACAACCCCAGGCTTTTGTATTTTATTCAGAGATAGGTTCTCACTGAGTGAAGACCCCCCTGCTATTGCTGAGGCTGGCTTTGAATTTGTGATCCTCCTGCCTCAGCCTCCTGAGCCATTGGCCAGTGATTATTTTTTAAATTATTTTTAATGATTTTTATGGTTATTGTTGTAAACAAATTTGTTGGTTGTAATGAAAAATAGAAATTGTTGTGGAAGCTCATAGGAACACAGCTCTCTGGTGACATGTTCACAGTCACAGGAGGACCAACTCGGCCCCATTTGCCCACAAGCATCCCAACCCAGCCCTGAAAACGCTCATCCCAGGAACCCTCTCAGTCCTAGCAAACCAGGATGATTGGTCACCCTATAGAACACTCTCCAGGGGGACTAATTTCTAATGATTAAGGTTGGGGGGTATCTCAGACCATTAGGTTTGGGCTTTGCAAATAAATATGGTCATTTATAGCACTGGATGGTGGGGTCTGGGCCCCCACACTGATAAGCAAAAATGAAATACCCCACTAATCCTAAGGAACCCACTCAAAATGCCTGAGGGGTGTCCTGTGTCCAACCTCCTTGGGCAAACTCACCCTCTCTGTTGCTTTTCACCCAATTTGACATGCAGAAATTTTGGATGCGATTATGCAGCTTCCTCTGAGGCCCCCCCCCTCCTTTGAGAGACCCTAGGTGGCATTTGTGGGGCCAGGTGAGCAGGGCAGGACCCGTGGGGCTCAGGACTGGTCTGGTTCTTACCGTATTGATCCAGTCTATGTAGTTGGAGACCCTGGTGAAGACGGAGGGCTTGCGGTAGTAGTTGCAGCCGAGAGTGGACCCGAAGCTGACCACGCCGTGCACTTGCCACTTGCCATCAGCCGCCTGGCAGTTCAGGGGCCCTCCAGAATCACCCTGAGCAAGAGTCAGATGAAGAGAAGGGAAGGGAAGGGGCTGCCCAGGGGGATCCCTGTTCTCAGGCACTCATGCTGCTCTGTCGTGGGTTGCCACAGCTCTGGGTGCAATGGTAGGACTTACAAGAGCTGCATTTTTCCCTAGGTGTCCTGAGCTGAGCTAAGCACTTTATTGGCCTCATCTCCTTACAAAAGCTATGAGGCAAGTGTTGTGAGTACCCAGTTCACCTGAGAGGAAAACCTGGGGGGTTCAGAGGCTACACCTTGCTTGAGGTTGTCCTGGCACAAATGTCCCTGCGGAGCTGCACACCAGTTAGGCTGCTGAGCTCTTATCCACCACCAGCCACCTCCTCCCATGACAAGGAGTTTCCTGGGGTCTGTGTGGGCGGATTGAGGGCACACTTGGTCTGAAGGACATGAGAACCCCTTCCATCTCAGTTGCCACTCAACTGCAGAGCCCGGTTAAGACACCATCTCGGGATGGGATTGTGGCTCAGTGGTAGAGCGCCTCTCTAGCAAGCCACCTTTTCTGGAGATTATAAGGACCAGATTCTGGAATGTCCAGGGGGGTTTCCAGTGCTCTGCCAGGAGGGGTGAGGACGGGTGCTGGGACCTCTCCCCGTCCCCAGTCCCATTTCGCTGTCGAGGGAGCCCTGACGTTGGATACTCACATTGCAGCTGGAAGTCACACCGTCACCCCCAGCGCAGACCATGGTGGTCTTCACGGAGCTGCCCCACCAGCTAGCGCTGGAGCAGGTGGCGTAGTTCACAACCAGCAGCAGGCCCTGCTGCAGGATGTCGGGAGAAGCTCCATTGGCTGAGCGAGACCAGAAAGAATGGATCAGAGGGACAGAGGGACTCCTGAGTAAGAAGGAAGTGGTGACACCTGCTGGGCTGTCCCTCTAGCCCCTTTCGCTGTGGCCCTTGTCACGTTCGCCCATGGCTCTAATGGGAGCAGCCATGTTTTCTATCCTGTGCCCTCACAGCTGATTGGTCAGTGTTCTGGCCGCTGCTGATTGGTTCGAGGGTGAGCACCTGACTTACACTAAGCCAATGAGCTTTTTCTCCTGGGAATTTGGGCTGGAGACTAAGAATTCCCGCCCAGGGAGGACTCAGCAGTGGCTGCCATTTTTTTTTTTTTTCTCCATGGAGAAAAGCTTGAGGGGGACCCACCCAGGAAAGAAATTCCGAGGGCGTGCTCATGAATTTCTTCCAGGCTCCAGTTCCTGGTTCTGGCCTGTTCCTAATGGCTGGCTGTGTCTCTCTGCCCCAGGGTTGAGACTCTGCAATCCTTAAAATCTTAAAGCACACTAGTTGGAAAAAATCGTTGGTGTGGTCAGGGTAGCACTTTCCTAGTAGCCCCCTGTGACACTGCCACCGTCACATACTACCCCATCAGCATTACCGCCCCTACTAATGGAGAGGATAAGGAGTATTTTCATTCTTGCCCTTTACTAGGCTTTCCAAAGAGGCAGTCCTGGAAGAAATATCAATAAATATTGTTTGATACATGGGACACTGAAATCAAGAGACATTAAGTCCCTTGCCTAAGATCACGCTCACTGATATATAGTTAACACTCGGCTAACACCTGGCACGTTAGCACACATGTCTTCTAATCTTCACCAACAGAGTTTCCACTTTAAAGATGAGGAAACCAAGGTCCAGAGGGGGTTGCTGAGGTTACATAGTGATCTTCAGGCAAGCATTTGGACATCCCTGGCCCTGGCCACTCCACCATCTCACCATCTCCCTGCCCTGGGGTTTTCTGGGTAACAAATAGGTGGGCACACTTGTATCTGATTTGCATGAGACGTCCCCTCCACCCTTCCTGCTTCTGCACAGTTTTCCTGTGTCCTTGGTTTTTGAAGACAAGCTAGTCAGGGGGCCGTAGACATTTCTCTGAGTGCATCAATGTTGATGTACTCATCTGTCACTCATAGATTTATGTCATTATGAAAAAGAAATCCCTCTTCTGCACAGACCTCCCTAGAATCTTCTAAACCTCTGGTGATTTTATAAGGGATGGGTAGGTGCTCTGTTCCTTTTGGTGGCATATTGTCATGGGATTTCTGACCCTTGGGTTTATGTCAAAAGAAGACTCACGCTCAACCATGTTCTCAGTAGCAAGACCAAGTGGCCCAGAAGACAGGTTTGGATAAGGGGGGGGGGTCCATGCGGGCTCCAGGGACCTCTGTGGAGCTCCAGAACCTTGAGGTCCCAGAATCTGTGCTGTTCTGGGCCCATCTGTGCTATGCAGAAGTGTCATATGGTCTCTGTACCGTTCATTCAATCCCAGTGACAGTAACAACTAGCACACAGCAGCTACTATGTGCCTTTGTTACTGGTCTGAGTGCCTCCCTTGGACTGTCTCCTTCAATCCTCTCTGGGATGTAGGTGCTGTTATTATCCTCGTTTCACAGATGAAGAAACTAGCACAGAGGCCAAGTAATGTGCCCAAGGTCACACAGCAAATAGTGAGAGAGCTGGGATTTGAACCCCAGGCCGCCTTGGATGACTAGTGGGGTGAGAGACCCAACCTGACAGGTGACAGCACCTTCCTTCCCTGCCTGGCCTGGGTGCTCGCGGCCAGCACTTACTCTGCAGCCTGCCCCAGCCTGTGACGTAGCAGGGGTAGTTGTTGGGTAAAATGGTGCCGGCAGGTGGGAGGCAGGCCAGTTGGATCTTATCAGTCAGGGTGACGGGTGTGGCCAGTTTGAGCAGGGCAATGTCATTCCTGGTCAGGAAAGAGACAGAGCTCAAGAGCATTAGCCAAGCAGGGCTTTGAAGAGTGCAGAGAGATTTCCCGGGGCTGATCCCCAGGGAGAGTAGCTGGGCATCTTTGAAAATGTAAAAGACCTTGTTAGGAGGCTTCAGGGACAGGAGATACAGAAGGACTGTGTCCTGCTCCACTGAGATCACCATCCCTGTGTCCCTTGTCATGGACTAGACACACATGGTCAGTGATGGCCTGGGGCACACAGGGGCCTACAGGCTCAGGAGGCAGGAGACCCAGGTTGCTCCCTGCCCCCCCCATCACCACCACCCCCATCACCACCCCCCAGGCAACTTTTGCACAGGCCGAACCTCTATGAGGTCAGAGCCCTTCCCCTCCTTATAGAAGGATGGAAGCCACCCCCAGAGCCCTGAGACAGAGCATACCCTTGGGCCAGATTGTTGTTCCACTTCTGGTGTACGATAGCCTTGGAGACCTTGACGGCCAGGGAGCCCGCCTCCTCGGTGGAGAGGCTGTGCCGGCCCAGCACCACTCGGTAGGTCCTGGAGGAGCTGGGAGGGCACAGAGGGTCAGTCCCTTGCCCTTAGGCCCCCGCCCCTGGCAGGGACACCCAGGAGATGAGCCACTTGGGATGGGCCCAAGTAAGTGTCGGCTGCATGAACCAGCAGTGGGGCTTGGGACCTTGTCTTTCCTGAGAGCCATCTGTTGGTTACTAGGTAGGATAAATGCTTTAATATAAAACCCATCACTGTGGTAATTATAACAACCCTATACTAACTATAAACTGACTTAATAAAAGTTGTAATAATAGAAATCTTATACTACTCTGGAGGGAATGAGAAAAATAAGAGTCTTTTTTTAGTTTAATTTTCCACCCTTATTTTCTCTTGGGGAAACTGAGGCCCAGGGAGGGGTAAAGAGTCCAGAGAGAATCTAGACCTGGAGCGCAGGACGCCGGGTTACCCGGCCTCTTTGTTTTTCCCACCCCCTCTTAAAGCCTATACACCTGGTGGGGGTAGGTTCAATTTCAGGGCCAGCCCACGCCAGCCCACGTGGAATGCTGAAGAGTTCCAGCCCAGGTGAGATTAGCCTCGGACCTGGGGAGGAAGAGGGTGTCCTCTCATTTAATTCACACTACATTCTGTTATGATTGCCAGGCGCCTGTGATTCCAGCCACCCTGGAGGCTGCGGCAGGAGGATGGCATGTTTGAGACCGGCTGGGACAATTTAGTAAGACCTTGTCTCAAAAATTTAAAAATGGCTGGGGGATGTGTCTTAGTGGTAGTACTGGAAAAAAAAATTCTGTTATCTCATTTTTTTTCCCAGGGGATATGTTAAAACTTAGAGAAGTTATTTACACTGTGAAGTGGACCCAGTTCCAGATGGAGAGGCCACATCTGATACTCCCAGGAGGGCAGAAACTGGGCCTCCCGTCCTCCACACCGTCCCTCAGTCCAGCCAAGATTGTCAGTCGACAGTAGACTGAATTATAGATCATCTAAAACTTGTGTCTGGCCAGGCGAGTGGTTATTTGCAAGGCCCCTTTATAGTGTGGTTCAGGCCTTTGGGTCCCCTCTCTTGGAGGTGAGCACTGGCTGGTAGGGCGAGCAGCCTGGGTGACCTGGGAAAGGCAGTTAGTTACCTGATGCAGTGGGCAGCTGTCAAGACCCAGTTCTTGGCCACCAGGGACCCTCCGCAGGTGTGGTGCCACTGGCCATAGGCACTGTACTGCAGGGAGACCTGTGGAGAGGCACCTGTGGGCTGAGTTCTTCCGCTGAGAGCAGGTGAGGTGGCACCTCTCGCCCCAGGTGCAAAACTTAAGGGGCGCCTGAACCTCAGTCATCAGGGTAAAAAACCCTTTAGTGCTTTGTAGAATATAAACAGTCCAAATCTACACAAAAAGGCATGATTAAACAATATTGAAAAGTTAAATAGACTATTAAAAATTAACTTCTGAACATCTCTCTGGGATATGCCCCTTCTTCGGAACTATTTCCTTAGGACACGGCCCTCCAATTTAATATGTCCAAACCCAAACTCTTAATTTCCCCCAAACCTGTTCCATCCTCAGGATTCCCAGCATGGTCAATGCCACCTCCACTTTCCTGGCTGCTCAGGCTAAAATCCTTGGGGCCGCCCTGGACCCCTTTCTCTCTTACCCCTCACTCAAACCCAAGAGCGAGCCAGCTGGGTGGCCCACACCTGCAATCCCAGAGACTCAGGAGGCTGAGGTGGGAGGATCACAAGTTTGAGGCCAGCCAGGGAAACTGAGAGACACCCTGCCTCAAAAAATAAAAAGGACTGGGGGTGTAGTTCCGTGGTCAGGTGCCCCTGGGTTCAATACCCAATACCAAGCACCAACGCAAACAAAACCAAACCCCATCAGTGGTAACTTTATACATGGAGAGAATGCTTCCCTTGTATCTTGACTCTCTGCCCCAGACGCCTCATCCCTTGCCTGGATGATATCCTGGTCTTCTGTTTTTTTTTTTTTTTTTTTGGTGGGGGGTGGTGGAGCTGGGATGGAACCTGGGGCTTCACACACGCTAAGCACCCACTCTACCACTGAGCGGCACCCCTGCTCCTAGTCACCTATCTTTCTTCCAGCTCCCACTTTGGCCCACCCCTCACCCCAAACACACAGCAGCCAAAATGATCCTTTCTACACATAAATCTGATTATATCTCTGTTCAGAACCTCCAATGACTCCCCCTCTTGCCCAGTGAAAACTCAAAATTCAGGTGGTCTACTAGGTCCTACATCACCTCTCTGACCTCAGCCTTCCCCTCCCCTCCCCTTGGCCATGCTGACCTCCATCAGTTCTGCAAATATAACAAGCCTACTTCTGCCCCAGGGCCTTTGCCCTGGCTTCTGTTTATAAAATATTTATAAAATATTCCTGTTTATAAAATATTTATAAAATATTCCTGCTGCTGGAATATTTTTCTCCCAGGTATCAACCTATCTCCTCCATTCCTCTGGGTCTCTGTTCCAGGTTACCTTCTCCTCCTGAAGCCTACGTGACTTTGGGCACATTTTTGGTCCTGATCGCTTTATACGGAAGATAGGGACCATAATGTTCACCATGCAGGGCCTTCAGGATGATTAATAATCACAGTATCCAACACTATGAACTTCCAGTAATTTGACCGCTCACCTTGTGCCCAGCACGGCCCTAAGCTCAGAGTGTGTATTGGCTCATGTCTTAATTAAGGCAGCTGTGAGCACCTGTACAATGTGGTCTGTGACATGAAGACTGTTAACTATTTCTAATAGGATGTATGCAAAAAGGCAGTTTACTTGTTCCAGGTCATACCAACAGTACTTGGCGGAGCAGAGAGCTGAGCCTGGTCCCTGGTCCTGAACATTTTTTTGTAATGGGTGGATCCGGAGACTGTCATGCTAAGTTAAATAAGCCAGTCCCCCCAAATCAAAGGTTGAATGTTTCCTCTGATATGCAGAAGCTAATCCAAAATAAGGGAGGGGGGAGGTAAAAAAAAAGAATAGAGAAAAGATCAAAGGAGTAGACAAAGGGGAATGAAGGGAAGAGAGGAGGGATGGATAGGAAAGACAGTGGAATGAACCTGACCTATTTTTTCTATGTACATATATGAAATACCACAGTGAATTCCATCATCAACTAAAAGTAAATAGCAGAAAGATCAGTAGAATAGAGGGAGGGGAAAGGGGGAGAGGGAGGGGAAGAGGAAGTACTGGGGACTGAATTAGAGCAAATTATAGCCCATGCTTTTATAATTATGTCAGAGTGAATCCTATTGCTATGCAGAACATCAATAACAAAGTAAAAAATTCGACTTTAGTTCTAAAGTGCTTATGGTATTTCTGAGCACGTTGTGGTTTGGATTTAGGGGTATTGAGGTAGGGCCATAGTCTTGGGGTGGGTGGGAGAGTCCTCTCAGGCAGTAGAGTGCCAGGCACATTCATTAATCCTGGCTTTGTTTAAAGTTCTGACATTTTGTTCATCCTGGATGTTTTTGCATAGTTTGATTTTAAAAATGTTGCATGAAAACATTACTCATTTTGGGTGCTGAGCCTTAAGTTATTCTCCCAAATTTAGGGCTTCACTTGCCTCACCTGAGACTCTGCCTGGGCTAGATTGCCCACCTGACCCAATTAAAAAACAAAACAAACAAACAAACAAACAAACAAAACCTCCTCAGGGAAACAGAAGCAGGAGGGGCGGGAGCTCCCCAAGACTAACATTAATTGGTTCCCAAGGCAAGGATTGAACCAGGAAGTATTTTATGCAACATCAGTTAGTTTCTCAGCACAAATACACTCTGGGTTTGGGGATCCCAGGGGGAGGGGCTGTTGCCCCCCTTCAACTTCCCACAGAAAACAGTGTGAGACTGAAAAAGGTGAAAAACTAGCAAAAGTACACAGAGCCAAGGGTGTAAATTGGGGAATATCGGGCACCATTCTGTCATTGACACTTTTTCCTTTTTGCTGTGCTGGGGATGGAACCCAGGGCCTTCTGCTTGACAGGCAAGCGCTCTGCCACTGAGCTACGCCCCACACCCCAGCTGTCACTTCTTTAATCTAGATGCCATTCCCTCGATGAAACATGCACCTGCTGCACGGGACCCCCTGGGCACTCATCTCTGATGGGTACTCTGACCACCTGGGTTAGAAATGTGCCCTGATCCAGCTGGGTCTGTTCCCAGCCTGTTTCCATCAGTTACACTTGCAATTCATGTGTTTTGATAAGACACAGAGCTGATGAAATATGAGTTCAAAAATAGAGCTGTGGGGGCTGGGGTTGTAGCTCAGGGGTAGAGCACTTGCCTAGCACGCATGAGACACTGGGTCCCATCCTCAGCACCACATAAAAATAAATTAAATAAAGGTATTAAAAATTTGTTTTAAAAAAATAGAGCTGTGATTTATAGAGAAACTAAATTAAATGCTTGGAAGACACTGGCTAATGGTGACTCTTAAAAAATGGCAATCCCCCGCCCCCCCCCCAAAAAAAGGGCTATTGAATTAGGCGTCTGTGAAAAAAGTGGAAAGAAGCGGGGAAGGGGTGGGGATGGGGCAGAGATGACAAAAGTCAGGACCAGCTCATTACACAGATTGCTTCAGGAGCAGCTTAAAGTTCTG